CTCTATAGAAAGAGTGACCAAGATTGAAAAAAAAAAATCATAAGGACTACTCTAAAAACTGCAAAAAATCTTCTCATTTTGCTTATTCTGCAATTTGCATAGAGAGATTAATTCTTTCAATCAGTTTACCAACACACGCTTGAACACACATTAGTATGTGTTCTTGTTATATAATTAGTTATTAATTGTGCATGCTTCTATAAATGTTTTATGAGTGCTAAATCTTGTGTTTGTTTCCTTTTTCTATTTGTTATCATTAACAAAAGGTTTGTTTTTGATGTTTTTAAGACCGTCAAATGGAAGATCTATGCATCAAGAACACCGTTTCGCATCATGCGACGTCGGTAGCCGCCGCAGAACCTATAAAGCTGGTGGAGGTTGTTGTAGAGGAAGAGACGTTGGAGAAGGCTGGCGGCGATAAAACGGGTAAATCTACCGCTTAGAGCTCCAAAATATAATGGGGACATATACGTAATTTCTATAATTTTGGAAGGGCGTTTTAGTTATTTTAAATAAATTAAACCTATGAATTAGTAGGATTAATGTAGAAAAAATAGTCATACAAGTGATAATTGTTCTTTTAAATTAGCGTTTTCGTCATTTCGATATCTGCATTTATAACAAGAATTTCTTAGATTTTAATGTTTTGCTAATAATATTTTTCAAAGATTTTGACTAAAAACTAATACTAATTAATATTTGGTTTTGAATTGTTTTCTATTCTTTCGCTGTTATGGATGAATCGAAAACGATTTGCCAAAAAAAAAAAAATGAAAATCAATACACTAATTGGTTATTATTTTTGCATGCTTTTATAAATGTTTTATGAGTGTGAAATCTTGAAAACTTGTTCCCTTTTCTATTTGTTATCATTAATAAAATGTTTATTTTTGATGTTTTTAAGACCTAAAAATGGAAGATCTATGCGTCGAAAACACCATTCCGCATCATACGACGTTTGACGCCGTCGCAGAACATGAAGAGATGGTGGAGGTTGCCCCCGTTGTCGCAAAGGAAGAGACGGCGGAGAATGTTGGCGGCGATAACAGAGGTAAATCTAACGCTTAATTAGGGTTTCGAATATAATGGGGACATACATCATAATTTTACGATTTTGCAAGGGCATTTTAGTAATTTTAAGAATAAATTAATAAGTAGAATTAAAGTCGAAAAAACAGGCATACAAGTAATAATTGCTCTTTTAAATTAGCGATTTCCGTCGTTTCGATACCTGCATTTATTACGAGAATTTCTTAGATTTTAATATGTTACTAACTATTTATTTTTCATATTTTGAAACAATACTGATCATTTATTTATAATAATAATGTACATGAGTGGTAGTTAATTTTAAAAAAAATATTTATAATATTTTGAAACAATAATATTAATCTTTCAACTAATCATTTAGGCCATAAAATAGTTGAAGATACCCCTATTGGCAATGATCATGGAGTGGCGGCGAAGAGCTTCTCGGAAGGCGGTGGAGGAAGCGGAGATGAGGTTTGTAGCAAGAGAAAGAGAGGGCGGCCGATGAAGCAGTCGGTGGGGGGCCGACAACAATTTGCGGAGATGCTGCCAGAATATTATATCTCTGCACCGAAGCCGAGAAGAGGCCGCCCTAAGGGATCCACGAAAAACTTGGCTGCCTCTTTAGGTAAGTTTTTCTTTCTTGATTATTTAGTTGTTTATATAAAATATTGCAACCTGCATTTGTGAATCTGCCATTGCATAATTTATTTATCAATTTATTATTTATATGTAAATATATATGGCATAGTAAAATCATTTAGT